ATTCCAAGTGTACAATCCTCTTGTGTTAAGTCCATTCACATTGCTGTGGAGCAGTACTTCTCGAACATCTTTTCTCACATCTCTCTTGCAGCCACGTGTTTTGAAGACCAGATCTGAGGGTTCGATGCAGAACGCTGTGATGACTGTGGACTGCAGCCTGGAAGGTATGTTGCTTGTTGCGAAGAGAGCCTCATATGCAGGCTTCCTGGGAGATGTTGTGGCTTCAGTTCTAGACCACTAGAATAAAGTAAATATCATACTAAAGAGAGTCAAATGATTTTTTTTTTGGTTTTCCAGTGCATGTAACAGTTAAGTTTACACTATACTGTAGTCTATTAAGTGAGCAATACCACTGTGTCTAAGAACCCCAATGTTCATAACTTAATGAAAATATTCTTTATTACTAAAAAATACTAGGCATCATCTGAGCCTTCAGTGAGGTGTAATCTTGTTGGTGGATGGTCTTTTTAACTTTTTTTTTATTGAGTTTTAGTCATTTTGGTGGATGGTCTGGAATTGATGTTGGCAGCTGCTGACCGATCATTGTGACGGTTGCTGAAGATTGGTGTGGCTTTTGCAACTTCTTAACATAAGACCACAGTGAAGTTTGTCACAGGGTAACTTCCTTTCAGGAACAAGTCCTCTGTAGCAGGCAATTTGATACATTTTACACACAGCAGAACTTCTTTCCAAATTGGAGTCGGTCCTCTGAAACCCTGCAGTAGTGTATCAACTAACTTCATGCACTCTTGTAAGTCCTTTGTTATTTCAGCATTCTTCACAGCACCTTCACCAGTAGATTCCATCTCAAGAAACCAATTTCTTTGCTTGTGCATAAGAAGCAGCTCCTCATTCATGCACATTTATCAGGAGGTTGCAGCCATTCAGTCATGTCTTCAGGCTCCACTTCTAACTCTAGTTCTCCTGCTATTTTCAGCTCATCTGCAGTACCTTCCTGCACTGACGTCTTGAGCCCCTCAAAGTCACACATCAGGATTGGAATCAATCCCTTCCAAACCCCAGTTCGTGTTGATGTTTTGACTTTTTCCCATAAATCACGAATGTTCTTAATGGCACCTAAAGTGGTGAATCCTTTCCAGAAAGTTTTCCATTCATTTGCCCAGACCCATCAGTGGTATCACTGTCTGTGGCAGCTACAGTCTTCCAAAATGTATTTCTTTAATAATAAGACTTAAAAGTTTTAATTACTCCTGATCCATGGGCTGCAGAATGGATGTTGTGTTAACCATGGAAACAGCATTCATCTCATACATCTGTGTCAGAGCTCCTGGGTGACTGGTGCATTGTCCATGAGCAGTAATATTTTGAAAGAAATATTTTTGTTTTGTTTTGTTTTGTTTTCTGAGCAGGTAGGTCTCAACAATGGGCTGAAATTTTCATATTGTAAATAGATGTGCTGTCATCCAGGCTTTGTTCCATTTATAGAGCACAGAGTAGATTTCAGGGGATTCTCATGGGACATAGAACTTTCAGGATGTTAAATGAATATTGGCTTCAACTTAGTCACCCACTGCATTAGCCCCTAACAAGAAAATTGCCTGTCCATTGAAGCTTTGATGCCAGGCACTGA